TCATCATTACCATCATCATCAACATCATCGGGACACCATCATCATCAGCATCAACATCTTCATCTTCATCATTGGGCCACCATCGTCAAAATCATCATCATCACCCCATCATCATCCTCATCATCAACGTCATCATCATCATCGGGGCACCACCATCATCATGAACAACAACATCATCATCGGGACACCATCATCATCATCGTCATCATCATCATCATCAGCAGCACCACCATAATCCTCATCTTCATCATCGGGACACCATCATCATCATCATCATCATCATCTTCATCGTCATCATCATCAAGTCATCTGATCATCATCAACATCATCAAGATCATCAACACCATCATCATCTGGGCACCATCATCATCAGCAGCATCATCATTAACATCATCATCTTCGGGGCACCATCATCATCACCACCATCACCATCATCATCATCAACATCGACAACAACAACATCATCATCATCGTTATCGGGACACCATCATCATCACCATCATCATCATCAACATCATCATCATCACCACCATCATCACCACCACCATCATCATCATCAACATCATCATCACCATCATCACCACCACCACCACCACCATCATCATCATCATCATCATCATCATCATCATTATCATCATCATCATCATCATCATCATCATCATCATCATCATCATCGGGACACCGACGGGACACTGGCGGGACACCGCGCGCCACCGGCCCCCGAGCGGGACACCGGCGGGACACCGCGCGCCACCAGCCGCCCGGTGGAGAATCATTTGGTCCGGCCGCGCCTCAGCCACAGGAGACTTTCTCTCGCCCGCCCACGCAGCTTCGCCTCGCCCGCACGGCACGCACGAACACGAAACCGAAATCGATTTCCCGGTAGGGGGGCGCTCCGTTCCACTTCGATCTCACCCCCTCACCTCCGATATCTCATCCCGCCACCGTGCCTGCGTTGTGGGTCAGAGTCCTCAGCGACGCTTCTCGGGGTCTCTTCGGAGCGTTCTGAGGGGCATCTGGGGGCAGTGTTGGTGCCTCCTGAGTGCCTCTGGGTGCCGCTTTCTTGGGGCGTCCTGGGGGCCTATTTGGGGCTTCCTGGGGCCTCCTGGGGGCGTCTTGGGGGCCTCCTGTGGCCTCCTGAGGGCCTCTCGGGGCCGAGGGCTCGAAATGTTCGTTCGGGTCCCCCGTCTGGGCCCCCTCTTGGAGCCGTCGTGGGGGCTTTGTGGGCCGTCTTTGAGGTCCCTTGGGCCATCTCGGGTCCATCTTGGGCCGTTTTGGGGCCCTCTTGGAGGCATCTCTTGCTGTCCTGGGGCGACATTGGGGGCCTCCTGGGCCGTCTTCAAGTATCGGGAAGCCGCAAAAAAGGCGAGAGCGCCAAAACCACGCAAAAGTTTGACGAAAATCAATGGTTTGTGCCCCTTGGGGCCCTCTTGGGAGTGTTCTTGAAGGTCTCTTTGGGCGTCTTCGAGGCCTCTGGAGGCCATCGTGGGCGTCTTCGGGCGATCCTTCAGCGACTGTGCGTCCTCCTGGGCCGTCTGGGCGGCCTCCCTGGGCTTCCTTGGGCCGTCCTTGGGGCCCCTCCGAGCGAGCGGACCGTTCCGGAGGCCCCCGCGAGGAGCCCCGGCTGCGCCCGGGACCGCCCGCGGGAGCCTCCGGGAAATTCTGGGGCCCGGGCCCCTAAGGAACTTGCCAGCCGCCTACCTCTCATACGAATCGGGGGTGGACAGAACCCCCAGCAGTGACACGGCCGATTCGTGAACTGTCCGTTTCCGGTTCTCGAGATGGCGCCGTGGCCCTTAGTTTCCAGGCTGGCGCCCGCCGGGCTTGGGCCTCAGGCCGTTTTCACTAAGCCACGTTTTACTAAAGGGGGGTCTGTCCATCCCCGAACAAAGCGTCTACCTCTCAGGGCTGCGTGAGCCTTCGGGCACTTCACTTCTTGCCAGGGGCACGGCGGCGGATCATGTGCTATGTTTCTTTCGGTTGCACAGTAGGCTCATCGAATAGAGCATCTGCGTGCCAGCTCGTGTCCGACGGGACCTTCTTATACCCCGATGGCCCCAGGGACCCACAGAAGCTCTCGGCCACCTTAAGACTGGCAAAGATCTACGAATCATGCGCCCCAACATGTCTTGTAGCATGATTTCTTGTCGTTTGTGCCCACTGTAATCGCAAGGAGGGTGTGAAAAGGGGGGAGATTTTCCATTCAGGGTACGGGGCAGGAAGAGGAGGAAGAGGAGGAGCAGGAGGAGGAGGAGGAGGAGGAGGAGGAGGAGGAGGAGGAGGAGGATGTGCGTACAGGGACGCGCTCAGGTTGTCCCCCGAGGGTGTCCTGGCTGCCGTCCACATGCCCCGCGCCCTCCAGGGGGCTCCGCGACCAGCTGGGCCGTTGAACATTTCCGAGACCTTCGCCCTCCTAAGGCCCCCCCCTCTCCTGCCCCGGGTCTCGATCCAGAGCCGGCTGGCAACAGGGCCGTATTCTAAGCATGCTAGCAGGTTGCACTCCACATTGTTCGCGCGATTCAGTGTCTCACGTGTTACCTTCATGTAAGGCCTTGCAGTGGCCCGATGTCGCACGCATGTATCGCTTTTGGGGTACACTGCGCGCCTCCATGCCGCGTTCTCATTTTGCTCCCTCCCTCCCTCCCCTCCCAGAATGCGGCGATTGCGTACCTGGACAGCAAGCTGGCGAACCGCTGCTTCGCCTGGGGCATAGCGCGCTCAAGAATGTGGTGGTTGGGGGGGGAGGATGAGGAGGACGGGGGAGGGCCACAGCAGGAGAAGGAAGGATAATGAGGGAGGACGAGGGCGGAGGACGAGGAGGACGAGGAGGACCCAGGCTTCGTCGCGTCGTGAAACAATCACGACGGGAGGTTGTCTCATCGTTTTCGGCCTTTTGGGGGGCCTCGCCGGCCTTTTGCACCGTCACAAGATGACTTGGGATGAAGAGCCGGTCCCCGGGAAGGGGTCCAAACCTTTGGAGAGCCACGTCGTGCTCAAAGCGCGACGTCAGATGTCCGGGGATGAGGGGTGAAGAAGTACGAGCAGGATGAGGGAGGCCGAGGGAGGATACATCAGTGATGATGCCTTGCTTGAATAAGAAGCCTGTGCGTAAGCGGACTTCCAGAGGTCAGCCCAGATTCCTCGGATCTGCGTTGGACGCCCCCAGCGGCGCCTCCGGCGTCGCCCCTGGCGCACTCCCTCTCGCACGTGGTGAGGGTCCGGTGCCGATCTCAGAAATGTGTTCGGACCTCCGAAAGACTATGTGCATGCAGATTTGTCCTCCTGGATACGGCCTCTCCTCGCAAGTCCCCTCCTCAGAAGTCCCTGAAGGCATTGTCCTTTCACTGCTGGGAGCGCTCCGTGGGAAGACGAGCACCCTACGGGTCTGCCCTTCATGCAACAGCCCCACCTCTTGCTCGCTCCTCACCACTGCTTGCTTGCTTGGAGCTCGCTTGCTTGCTAGGATTGCAGAAGCCTCATTGCTCGCTTGCATGCTTGAAGCTCGCTTGCCCCCCTTGCCAGCGACAAGCTGGGCTCGCCGGGAGCTATTCAAATCAAGCCCCCACACACCCCTGACTTACCCCGCGATGCCCAGCCCCAGCTCCCTCTCAGGCAGCTTTGGCTGAAGCAGCGTGCCCCCCCCCTCGCTTCACGAGCCTTGCCCGCATGGCGCCTGCGGTGGGCTCGACTGCCTTGGCGGCGCCCCTGGTCGACCCAGAGCGCGCGGACGCTGCCGAGGCGAAGCTCGCCCCCCTCGAGGCCACGGCGGCGCACCGGCGCGGGCTCCTGCTCATGACGGCCGGGCTGTTCGCGTACATCCCGGACGGCACGCTCATCAAGCTGGTCCGTGCGCCCACGGAGACAACCGCCCTGTGGCGGATGAGCATCGCAGGCTGCGCGCTGCTGTCCTTGCAATTGGTGCGCAGGGGGCGGGCGCTGCCGGCGGCCGTGCGCGGCATGGGCCCCTGGGGCGGGCTGGTGACCGTCCTGGCTGGCCTCAACAGCTGGCTCTTCGTGGAGGCGGTGAAGGCAACCACGGTGGCGAACACCGTGATGATCATGGCGACCTCGTCGTTCTGGGCTGCTCTGCTGGGGCGGCTGGCGCTGGGTACCCCAGTGAGGCTGTGCACCTGGGCCGCAATGCCTGTGGTCTGCGCAGGGGTGGCTGTGAGCGTCAGCAGCGATCTACGAGCCACCATGAACTCGGGAGATTATTTGAGCTGACGTCACGTCCGCCGACCCCTTCACTCGGACACATTCCGCGTGATCGCTTGGATGAATGTCCAGGTGGATGAGGGGAGGCGGCCATCAGGCGAGGAGGATTGGTGGGAACCGTGCATATACACACAGGTATGCCGGCCTCCCCCCAAACCTGGTGTATATACCTCGTTGAAAATTTCACGCTCGCGGACCTGTCCCGAGAAGTTTGCACTATACTGTGCGCAGTGGAGTTTATGACAGTAGTACAATGGCCATGTTCCTGTCCTAGATTGCAAACGTGGGATCGGTGGGAGTCTTGCGGGTCGGAGGCTCGCAGGGGTTGCAATCTGCGTCTTCTGCCTTCCTTCTGGAAGTATTCATATCCCTCTTGTGCTCATTTCCCTCCACACGTCCCTCGCCCTCTCGCTTTTTCTTTTCTCCACCTCCTGAGGAATCTCAGAATTCAAATCGGAGGTCTCGTATGGCCTTCCGTGCCCACTTTGGGGCGCCTTTGTTCCTGACCCACCCCAACTCCCGCTAGGGGGCCGTCTTGGACCGTCTTGAGTGTCCACTGGGCCGTCTTGTGCTCCTCAAGGGGGGAATTCTTTTGCCAACGTGGTGTGTGTGTGTGCAGTCTTGGGCAGATGCCCTCGGGCCACCCCTTCGGCATGCTTGAGGCTCCTATTACGCCCTCCTAGCGCCAGCTTGGATTAATATGGTGTGTTGGTTCGAGTTTCTCTTGAGGCTTCTTCGGGCGTATCGTGTGCGGCTTTCGGGGCTTTGTTTAGTCTCTGGGATGCCTTCTGGGCCAAGCTCGGGTCCTCTTATGGCCCTGTTGATGCCGTCCCGTCCCTTCGTGTGGCTTTCATGGAATCACCTCGGGCTTATTCGGCGGGGGGCATCGAAGCCGTCCTGATCGGCCGCCAACCCTCGAATCCGCGGTGTTCCCCCAAATGCGTCTAACGACATATCAACGTATGCCTGAGGCGTTATGCTGTAGCAGTCTTGGGGTGTCGACTCATGTTATGTAACACTGTACCACGGCTGTTTCGACTCGAGCCCCGCGCAACCAAGACGACGCGCGACGCTACCTACCCGCTAAAGAGGAGATGACTATCACCACCATCACCCATCAATAGCAGGGGGCCGATCGGGAGTGGATCGGCCCCCAGCGCATTCAAGACACCATGTCAGAGGATTCCTTTACGCTTCGCGTGCCCCACCCACCCATCTGGAAACTGTCGCCAGGCGAGCTGCCTCGATCAGAGATGTGTAATCGCATCCTGTGGAACAGCCGTAGGAGCCAGCCGTCAAGCCGAAGTTCGGAGGCAGCTTGAGCATGTTCAGGAGTGGAAGTGTTGAGCCGCCCGTCGAGGAAGGACGAGAAGGATGCGGATGAGCAAGTGGGGAAGAGAGGCCAGGAAGGAAGTTGACCAAGTGGGAAGAGCAAGATCAGGAGGAGGAGGAGGAGGAGGAGGAGGAGGAGGAGGAGGAGGAGGAGGAGTAGGAGGACGGAGAAGGACGGGGGCGACGAATCGGATGACGACACTTACGAGGATAGTGAGAGGCGGAGATGGAAGACGACGACGGCAGGAGTTAACCATGAAGAAGTTTGCGCGTTTTAGTTTTTTTGAAGCCATCGTGTATTCCTCAGGCAATTCAGAGAGCTTCGGTCAAAGAAAGGGCGGGTGCAGAATTGCGTTGCCCCTCCAAGGTCCCACCGATCGCCTCTCGCAGCCCTCCTGGGGACTCTCTTGGGACCCTCTTGGTCGCTATTCTTCTGGGCGCCTCTTGGGGCACTTTTTGGCTACCCTGGGACACAATCGTGAGACCTTCGAGGGCCATTTGAAGGGAATGGCAACTTGGACTGATCCTGGTAGTGGTCTTGTGCACTCTAAGAGGCATGTCGAGGGAGATATTGAGCCTTCGTGGGCTCTCCTGAGCCATCTTGGAGGACACCTCGAGCCATGAATCGCCCTCCTGGAGCCATCTTGGGCGCTCTGACCGTCGTCCCCATCAGATCCAGGGGCGGCTCCTCCTCCTCCTCCTCCTCCTCCTCCTCCGCCTCCTCCTCCACCTCCTCCTCCTCCTCCTTCTTCTCCTCCTCCTCCTCGGGGGAGAGTTTTTTTTTCCGCGGAGGGGAAGGGCGCTCTCTTCATGAGACGACCTGAATTGCACCCCCAAGCTGTCTCCGTCCGTCTTCAGAGGTAGGCGAATCTCAGACGCCCGATGACGCCATACGAGTCGGCCGACTTCATGGCCCTTGGCATAGCCGTCTCGAGCGCTGTGCGCAGGACCATCTTGCACCGCAAGTCGGACGTGGACATGCAGCCTGCGGTGGCTCTGGGGCTGCTGCTCGTCTCCCTGGTCCTTTTGGCCCGGGATGCCGCTGCAGGAGGGGCTGCCTGGGAGGTGGGCCAGCAAGACGTGGCACCGCTGCTGCTGCTGGGCTTGGTGGTGGTGCCCATGGGGATGACGCTGACGACAGCGGGGTCGCAGCTACTACCAAGCGCGGAGTCCGGGATGCTCATCTGCATCGAGACCGTGTGCAGCCCGGTCTTGGCGGCCTACGTGGTCGGAGACAGTGTGCCCGCCCGCGAGTGGATCGGCTTGGCCATCGTGGTTGCCACGCTCACCGCGCACGCGGCGGCACCGTGACGAGTGGCCTCAGGGTTGGGCGCCTTGCGTCCTCGGGATGGGCGTCTGTCGGCGGGTTGATGGGGCCGTGCCGATGGACGCTGCCGTGCGTAATGGTCGCAGGAGCACCTTGGGGCCCTCCAGCCGGCCCGTGAGCTGCTGGAATTTTCCGCAGGCGCTTTGTACAGGACGACCAGCACGACATAACCTCTTTTTTTTCCCGAGCGCCCCATCCTCCAGGGGGGAAGTAGCTGCCGAGCCCCGACCGGAGAAAACAGACGTCGGGAAGCAGAGGCCCGGCCAACCGGTGCCGATGGCAGCATCCGGCCAAGCAGGCGCCGGAGCACCCCTCGGCGCGCGCGGGCCCGCAGCAGGGCCAAGGAAGACGAGCTACGTGAGCCGAGCGCGATGGTGAGGGTCAGTGAGGCGAGGACGAAACGAGAGGAGGGCCCGCTCATGGCCCCCAGCGCAGCAGTCGCGGCAGCGCCGCGACCAGCACGAAGCAATCACGGGTCTCGATCGGTCCGGCCAGGTTACGTGTCCGTGCTTTTGTTGTTTTTGTAGCAGGGCCCCGGGGGCGGGGACACTGCGAACGGCGGCACTGCCATATCCAGGGGGCCAAAAAAGCACGAAGAATGGGTGAGACTTCGACCCGCGTCTGCCGTTTTGGAGGGGGAATATCCCAGTTCGTCCAAGGCTCCGTGTACGGGGCCTTTCTTCACACTTGCAGGCGCCACGGTGCCACACGGCGCCACCGCTTTGCCGCGCGCAGCGCAGAGCCGTCTTGCAACCGTCTTACAAGACGAAGCAGGCGCAGTCTTCAGAATCCAGTTTGTCTCCATGAGGGGGGAGAGCGAGAAACGACCCCTTTGGAGAAAAAGTCTGGGCTGCAGAAGAGAGCAGGATCGGCTGCCAGAGCAGCAGGCGGGACCTGGTTCCACCAGCGTGAGCGGCAACGGGAAAATCTGATCCACTTGAGGACAAGTTCTTCACGGTTCGCGTATCCCCGCCAGCCCTGGCCAAGGAGAGAGGCGGCTTTCCCCCCGCCTCCCTCCACAGGAGCCAGGCGGGTGCCCCCCGCTCTTGGCCACGGGGACCACCGACGTACCGACGGTTGTTGGTTGTGTCGCCCCCCCTCCTAGGGCCGCCCTCGCCCATCGCTGTAAGGGGCTGGTTTTCCCCCCCTTGCGGCGGTCCGATGCGGCCTGGAGGGCCACGTGGCGTTCGTTGGCGTGCCAGGGGCCTGGGTGGGAAGTGCCTGCGGCGGGCGTGGCCGGACCTGCGTCTGACGGCCCTTCTGTCTCTCATTGTGCAGCACCCCTCCAGGCACACCGCTTTGAGACAACAGCACATCGCCCGTACCAGCGCCACGTGCCCCGCGAGGTACAGCTCAACCTGTGCTCTTGGAGGCCCTCCTGATCGGGTCCGGTTCCCTCACGGCACCACCGCTCCAGTGTACTCCATCTCTCTCTTCTCTCTTCGCTGGCGATGCTCACCACGCCAGCGGGCTCCCCCACACTCAGTGGCCTTGCCGTGCCGGCACGCGCTGAATAGCTCACAGTCGCTCGGTTACCCCCCGACACTGTGATGTGGTCTGACTGGGGCTGGCCAGGGTGCAGAGTGGTTCAGCCCTCCGCAACAGGTGCAGTCCCACAGACCCACCTTCAGCCTCCCCTGTGCGTTGCACCACGGCGCACGACTGCTCAGCCGGCTTGGCTTGTGCAGGTCGTCCGTTTGGAGCCTGGCGCCACATTGGCGACTCACTCCAATGGCCAGCTCGTTTTCAACATGCACAAAGGCTTGCCCACCGTGGTCCGCGTCCTCTGTGCGGGTTTTGCCTTGGCCGCTTGAATTATGGTCATTTTGTCCGGTGCACGTGCCCGAGCTTGCAGTGCGCCATCAGTTCAGCCTCACCCAGCCAGCAGCTGCAGTCTGAGTGGGCCGGCCGGCCTGCGCCTGTCTGAGCCAATTCGCCCAGTTCGCGTCCCGGACTTTGCTTTCGCCGCCTGACCTTCGTCTCGCGGCCGCGACCGAAAAAAATATCCCCGCCAGCCCATCGCGGATCTTTCGCCTCTTGGCGCCGTCTGCGAGACCTCATAGGGCAATGTCGGATGGTGTGGGGGCTCCTCTTGGGACCTGCCTGAGGTTTCCCTGGAGCTCTTCGAGGTCTATCTTGGAATCCCCTCGTGTGCACTCTTGGGGTCATCTTGGAGGCCATCGATCAAAGAAGGGGGTGGCGTCAACTTCAGCCCCGCTTCGGAGCTCCTGGGCGCTCTTGGGGCCGTCCTGGAGCCATCCTGGGTCGCTCGATCGTGGGATTCTTGGGCCACATATTGAAGGGTCGAAAGCCGATCCTAAACGAAAAGGCGGGAATGCCAAACTCGCAGCTTGTCTGTATGTGGTTTAATGATTTGGGGCTGTGGGTTTTTCTCTGAAAACTCGGATGCCCCTTGGAGCCGTATTTTGGCGGTCTCGGGGGGTCTTGAAGGCATGTTGCAAGCTATGTTAAGCATTGCGGCCTATATTCCCCAATTAGAGCTTGCCTCTGTAGGGGTCCTAGCGGATTCATATGGTTAGGTTAGGTTTGCCGCCGATTTTCACGGCACGCCCGGGTGCCCGGGTGCCCGGGGGTGCCCGGGTGCCCGGGCGTGCCCGGGCGTGCCCGGGGGTGCCCGGGTGCCCGCCCTGTAACCCTATAGCCTTATAACCCTAGAGCCTTCTAGCCCTATAGCCCTCTAGCCCTACAGCCCTACAGCCCCAATAGCTTTATAATCCCAGAACCCTAATAGCTCCATAGCTTTATATTCTTACAACCCTATAGCCCTATAGACCTATAGCCCTATAGCTCTTTAGCCCTATAACCCTATAGCCCTTTAGCCCCATAGTCCCATAGCCTTATATTATTAAAAAGAGTATGATTGGGGTTGCTCTCTGGTATCATTGTGTTTTCTTGGGGGTTATATTGAGCAGTCTGGGTTCATCTTGGAGGTATCTTGGACGCCCTGCCCCCTGGCGACTCCCCACCGTTCCAAACGCAGGGGAGGGAGTATGGGGGAGGGGTGGCCCCTCTTCGGAGGGGAAAAATAGGATCGGAAAGAAGAGCTCCCTAAACCACTTTAACCCGGAGGGTAACGCGGGTAAGATCCCCTGATAGCGCAAGCGGTGATTAGGGAGTTCCCAGAACATCTTGGACACTCTTCGAGAAACCCTGCGAAAGTCGGGGGGGCGTTGACCGCGGGCCCAGCGCTTACCCGAGCCAGCCAGGGCCGCTGTCGCGAGCCGAGGGTGGCCGCCCAGCAGCTCCGAAACCTGGGGCAGCAGGAGGGGGTGAAGTGACAAGGGGCGGGACTTCTCAGAAGGCTCGGAGGCCGCCCTGCCTTCTGAGAAGTTTCCTGAGCCTTCCCCGGAGACACAGAAAACTTCTCAGGAGGCGCGAGGGCTTCGGAGATGTCCCGCCGCCTTCTGATAAGGCCTTCTCCTTCTCACTTCCCCCCCTCGCTCGCCGCCGGGGAAAGACGGGTCAGGGGGCCGAGCTTGCTCAGGGGGCGGGCTTGTTGCGCGATCCCTCGAGCGCTCCTCGTGCCTCTGCTTGGCCGCCCAGTCTGCGTCGAGTAGCTGCTGTTCTGGCGGCGCCTGCACCAGACGTTCTGCCTGGAGCGAGGACGGGTGAGAGGGACTCCGAGGAGATTCAGAGGGAGAAAAGGTACCCATACTTCTACCCTTCCCTCGTTTCCCTTTTTGGGGCCGCCTTGGAGGCTTTCGTCGCCACCGCTGGATTCGCCTCGAAATCCGGATCAGAACACATCCTGGGAGAGGTCCAGGGAGTAGCGGGATCAAGCCATATTGGTGTCCCCAGAGATCGGGTGTCCTCGTCTAGGGCTGACCTCTGGTACAGTGGGAACCCATGCCAAGAAACACCCTTCGTTTTTCCAGGGTACCTTGGGTTTCTTTGGCTTCTCGTCGGGGCGAAGGCTTGCAGCGGTCGCGAAGAAGACGCAGTCGGCTGGGTACCCTGGGCTTCTTCAATAGCGCTACGAGAGTCTCCTTCACGGCGCCTATCCCCCCTCGGACCTACAGATCGTCCTGGCCTGAAAAAGAGCAAGTTCAAGTTGTTCGTTCGCGATCGCCCTGGGATTCTTGACGCTGAGATGCTTTACGCAGCCCCCAAGCGAGAACCCCCATCGTGGCCCAAGAGATTGATGCGAGTTTCATTGTGGGGTTTCTCGCGATGGGCTTCTTGTGGGCTGGTCTTGACCGCACCTGCGCCACGAGGAATGACCAGGATCCAGATCTCCCGCGTTGCGTTGTTGGGGTGCAGCCCAGATTTGTTTGTTCGCGAGGTGCACTGTGCTGATTGGATTGGCCGCACCCGCCAGCAGGCCGTTCTGTTCTCGGCCGCCGGTTGTGTCACTTATGGCACAAGGAGGAGGAGGAGGAGGAGGAGGAGGAGGAGGAGGAGGAGGAGGAGTCACAGCCCGCCGTTTTATGACAAGTCACCAGGTGCGCAACCTCTGGCGCAACCGACGGCAAGCAGTTCTGTTCCCAGCCGCGGAGTGCGCAACCGATGGCGCAAACGGTATCGGGCCGTCTCGGCATCTATTAACGAGTACGCCTCTTATGGAGCGACGCAGGCCGTCCTATTCTCGGTCGCCGAATGTGCATCCTCTGGCGCAGCCAGTCGCACGCCGTGTTGTGCTCGGCTGCCGAGTGCGTACACCGTGGCACAACCAGCAGCAGGTATGTTCATGTTCGGCAGAGCATTCTGCAAACTAAGGCGAAACCTATGGCACACCCGCGGATGGCGCAACCTACGGCGCAATCAATGGCGCAGCCCACGGATCGCACCCCGCGGATGGCGCAACTTACGGCACAACCCATCGCGCAAGGCGTACCCTGTGGATCACGCAACCCATGGCGCCACGATCGCGCACCCCATGGCGTAGGCGAAACTCATGGATTGAGCATGGCGCACTCCATGGCGTGAGCGCAAGCCTTGGCAGCACCATCCATGGATCGCACATCCCATGGTGCAAGCCATGGCGTAACCTACGGATCGCGAAAACTGTGGCGCGCCACGCGGGGGGCGCACGCCCATGGAAGGTCGTTCCTGCGAGTCCGCGTCCAGTTTGTGCTTGCCGTTTGGGCTGGCGGCGGGGCCCAAGCGGCGAGCTGCCCCGTGTTCTGTTCGCGACGGGGGCCCTGGAGACGTCGACCCTGGCACCAGGGCCGGACCTTCGTCCATGGGGCTCCCTGGGGCTTGCCAGGGGTGTCCCTGGCTCACGGTGCCCCGCTCTCCGTGCCACCCGCGGCCACCTGGAGCCCTGTGGGCCTCGCGGGGGGCCCCTGGAACCCCGTGGGCCTCGTGAGGGGTTCTTCTGGAGGCTGCCTGGGCCTCCCAGGAGATACCGTGGACACCCGAGCGACGTCGAAGAATGGAGTCGTCTTCACCGACATTGCCGCGCAAGCTGCCCGCGCAAAGTCGCGCGTGAGCGCCCTCGTCTCCATGTGGGGGGCCCCACTGGCGGCCTGCGTGAGCCGCGGCATGAGGTCGCTATGCCATCTTGCGCAAGACCCGCTCACCGATACGACGGGGGCGTTGGTTGAGGAATGTGCCTGTGAGGCTTCAGACCCTGGACCTGATGGGGGCGGCGGTAGCATCAATGGCCAGCTCACGGGGCTGTGCGCGTGCTTGGGAAAGAGTAAGGAGAGGGATTCGCGTCGTAATCGGTCTCCCTTTTTTTGCTTTTCTACCTTCCTGTGTATCCACATCATTGCTTCACGGATCTATTATGAGCGTTGAGACCCCCAACATACCTAGATCAATCGATCCCACTTTCGCCGGGAGTCGTGATTCTCTGGCGAATGGCTTTCAGACCCTGGTCTCCTTATCCGGCGGTGTCTCACCCAACACCCGCACCGTGCTAATGGGGAGGCCTTGGGGGGCCTAGTTTTTTCAGTTGGAGCTTCGGAAGCAGACCGATCGCAGCCGTCTAAATGCTTTCAACCAGCGCTTCTCAGCATTTCTTGTCGATTTGTGTGTATCTGAGCTCCGTATCTAGCCTACAGCTCGAATTGAGTACAGAAAGCGTGCAAGTAGTCGTTCAGTTCTAGCTGGTAGCAGCCGCCTTGGTTCAACCCCTGCGTGCCTCCCGTGGCCCACGGGCCCGCGCGCGGCCCGCAGGGGCCAACATCTCGAGAGAGGCCCGGCCCTCGGCGCTGGGAGGCCTCGCACGACCTTCCGCCTCGAGGTCGGCGCCCCGAAGACTGTGGCCTGGCTCCAGCCAGGGCTGCGAGGCGGATGCCGCCGTTCCGGCGCGGGGGCCTCCAGGAGGCCCCAGAGTCCAGAGCGCCCGACGCGGCAGACCATTCCCTCCTCCCTCCTCCCTCCTCCTCCTCCTCCTCCTCCTCCTCCTTCTCCTCCTCCTCCTCCTCCTGCACCTCCTCCTCCTCCTCTTCCTCCTCCTCCTACTCCTCCTCCTCCTCCTCCTCCCTTGCTCTCCTCATCTTTCTCCTTTTCCTCTTTACCCATCATGTTGCGGCTGGGCCTGTAACAGATCGTCCACCTCTATGTTTGGCTACTCGAGTGGGCCTGCAATCGTTTTCCATGCTGGATTAGTCTTGCTTGACCTGAAAGCTGTTTTGCTGAGCCACTGGTGGATGCTCGACGCGTTGAGGGGATGGGCGGCCCAGAATGCGGTACAGAAACTGTACCGGGATATTTTTGAGGAGTTGCGATCTGGGGGACGTCACCTCGGGTATTGGATCACCCGCGGTGTGAAGCAAGGCCTCTGTCTGCTCTTCCAGCTCTGTTTCGACCTCATCCTTCGCGGACTTCATCGTCGCATCGATGCTCACCCCGGTCGTTCTCTTGCATTCGCCGACGATGTTGGCGTAAGTTCAGGGAGCATGTTCTTCTTTGTTGCCGGTAGTACTGCTACGGTTCTGTCATGTTGCGGTTGTCTCTGGCTTGGTCTTGATATTCAGAAGTGTTGCGTGGTCTTCGTGAGGGGCTTTGACGCCCAGGATCGCGTTAAAGCGCTCTGGCAATTTGGCCTCCGATTTCGTAGCATGACCCTTTCACGATTGGTGGGTATTTAAGCGTGTGTTTGTGTGTGTGTGTCGAGCCAGGCGGACGGGATAAATCTTGGGAGGCCCCTCGACGAGAGTTTCTCGAGAGGACCTCGCATGTTAGGAGCCTCAGGTTGAGTATGACACAGAATGTTCAGGCCTACGACGTGTACGCCTTCTCCTTGCTCTTAATGTCAGCAAACCTTTTCCTGTCCCTGAGAGTATCCACGACGCCAGACACCTATGTTTACAGCGACTCACGGCCGGTTCTTACCACGCGGACCCCTCCAACATTATGCGAAGCCTGGATTGTCTGGGTATTCGGGTGACTCCCAAGACGCTGTGTCCGAACTGTCGTGATGCCATGTTTCGTGCCGCGGCCAACAGTCGTTAATTTGGAGATGCCCTGGCCCGTTTTCATCGTACGCATCATTATACTCTTGGTGTGTTGGCTACCCCTTGCCATCGAGACTGGCTGGAATCGAGCATCACATGCAACATGATTACCAACTACAACAGCATCACCAGGGTGAGCCCAGAGCTAGGCCAAGAGGAAATTTCAGACGTACAGGCCAAAGTAGCCAAGCGTCTTGCTGGCTTTCTGAACCTCCCCAGCCCTTCCGCGCCTTCTGAACCTCCCTGGAGCCCACATTTCTGTAGCTAATCATGCAATGCGAACCTGTATCTCGCCTCCCAGAAGTTTGGACCATTCGTTTGCACTGCCATGTTCACGCGACCGTGCCGATTTGGCTTCAGTCCGGAGGCGGGTGGCAGGCTCGATCACTACTTTAGTTGCTCCCTCGTGGTCCCGCTTGTGTCGTCTTGTCCGTCTCCTCCCTGCCTGCTTTCCTCGATGGGATTTCTCGCGACGCATAGTTGTACACGATTTCAGATCTTTAACGTCAGATGAATTGCATGCTTGTTTCATACAGTTATGTCTGATATCTTACTGTCTATTTGCAGCGCTCTCTAGGTACAAGGCCGCTGAAGGGGTCGAGAGCATGATCCGAGCTCGCGCCAGAGCGATCGCCAGACTGTCTGCTTGCGCTCGTGCTGTTCTCTCGGGATAGTCCGGGGGCGGCTGCGTCTCTTCGGCGGGGACAGGTATTGCCCCCATGAGGGGAAGCGGGTTTGGCTTTGGACGGGCTCTCACGATGGCGATGCACTCATCCTTTCTCTCTGGTACCAGGTACGGGTGACATGGATCTGATGGTCGGAGCTGCCCCTAGCGGTGAAGGGGTGTCCTCCTCCTCCTCCTCCTCCTCCTCCCCCGTCTCCTCCTCCTACCCTTCCGCTTGTTCTACCCGGTGCAGAGTGCGGTGCAGGACTGCGCGCTTGTCTCGGCGGGTTCCGCAGAAACCTTCCTCGGAGCCTCAGCTTCGGCATCGAGGCCAGAAGCTCGGGCCGAACTTCAGAGGACCCCACATGGTCCGTGAAGATGTGCCACTCACTCACCTCAGACCCCAAGCGTCGCGCTAGTTTCTCGCCGCGTGGGCCCCCGAGGGTCTGGGCCCCTTCCCCGGGGGCTGGCCTTCCCTCCCCAGGCTGTCTGTCTACGGTCCTCGCCGGAAGGCGCCGACATCTTCCGGTCTGCCTTCGCTCACGGCTTGGCGGGGGCCTGGGCTCGGGGGTCAAGCGTTGGCCCCGGGACCCGTCTGGGGACACGACCCGACCAGACCTGCGAGGCGAATCCAGCCGAGGCGGCGAAGAGGCTCGGGGAAGGGCCAGGAGGCCAAACGTCCGAACACCTCGATCCTCGCACCTCGATCCTCGAATCTCCGCCCTCGATCCTCGATTCTCGCACCTTGCAACTCGATCCTCGAATCTCCGTCCTCGATCCTCGAGTCTCCTCGATTCTCGCACCTCGATCCTCGATCCCCCGCCCCCTCGGTCCGAGGTGGGGGCCCTCCGGCGAAAGAGCGCCGAGCTCGGCCTCGAGGGCGCCAGGGTGGTGCTGCACGACCCGGGCATGGTGCTCAGCAGGCGGGCGTGTGTTTTGTTTTTTTTTCGCGCGAGACCGCCCGCCAGAGAGGCCCAAAACCGCCATCGTTTCGCATAATCAATAGGGGGCCACATGCGAACCCTACCCCTACCCCCCACGATTTCTGAGGGGGAGGGTGGGGTTCACTTCGTTCGGGAGCTCTCGAGCGAAGTGAACCCCACCCTCCCCCTTCAGAAATCGTGGGGGGCAGGGGTAGGGTTCGCATGTGGCCCCCTAATCAAGCCAGAGGGCTTGGTGTTCTCGGTGTCTGCGGAGATACCCATACTTTCATCGTCTTGGTCCAGGCCACCGAGTTGCGGTCCGAGTAGGTTGGATTGGAGGATCGCGCCTCATCGCCCGATGCCTTGGCGATGTGGCGCGATTCCCCGATCCCATCGATTTATCGGTTGTTGAACGTATGTGCTTGGGGATCTTTAGAGACTCCAACGCGTTCCTGCTCCTTGTGTCCACCCACTTCTTCCGACCGATGGTTATGCGGACCCCATCTTGGAAGCCTATGCCATGGTCTGGAGCATTCGAGACGTGTGTTTTTTGCTCGTCGTGTTCGGTGCCTCTGGGCCCTTTTTCTCGGGCACCGGGGGAGGGCCGCCACGGCACACGCCCGTCACGAACAGCACGCCCTAGAGGAAGCTGTCGAGAGCTCCGGGCACCATTGCATCGGAAAAAAGCAAGACGTTGGAGCTCTGGAGGCACCGAGGTGGGGGCGGAGAGCATTTGGAGGGACAAAAATTAGCTGCGTACTCTGGATGGGGCAATCATCGCTCCCCCCCTGAATCCGCGGGGGGGGGTTGGGCACGTGTTGTCGGCACGGGTGGAGGGGGGCTGGAAGGAGAGGATGAGGAGGGGTTGAGGACGGAGGGGGCGGGATTGGGCAAGCTCCGTCGGGAGGTTAATCCCCCCCCCCCCCGCTTGATACATTCCCCGTGCAGAGCAATCATAAGCTTCCGGCCGTCCGCGCGGATTTCCGTGGGTCGATGTTCGGTCCCCCTGGGCGGCGCCTGCAGCGCCGCGCCAGAGGCGCGCCTCGCGCTCCGGGGCCTGCGGGCCTGCGCCGACCGAGGATTCCCCCAGCTCCACGCGGATGCCGCCGCGTTTGGCACCGCAGAACGCGGCACGGCCGCGTGCTCTGGTACGGGCCCAGACATGCTCGCGTCGTGGAACAAAAACGGGGCGGGAGGTTTTTGGCAGTTTTCGGCCTTGGGGGGCCCTGGCAGGGCCTCGGGACCGTCAACACACGACTCAGGATGGAAATCCGGTCCTGGGGAAAGGGTCGGGTCTTCGGGATCCCGTAGTGAAAAAATCAGGACGTCGCATGTCTGTGCTCACCCCTTTGTTTGATTGCTCTCCCCCTCTAGAGCAGCACCCGACCAGCTACCAGGGCCAGCTTTTCATCTCGAGCCCTCGTGCTGACGGCCGCGCAGGGCCCAGCACCGGATCCCAGAGGCAGGAAATGTGGAAAAACGTTCCCTTCGTTTTTTTGGTGTCACGTCTCGAGCCATGAGATCCGAAGTCACGGAAGCCAACGACATCGCGAACAATCACGGCCAGAGCTCTGGACCCAATGGTTCTGCGGTACTTCTGGGGCCCCAAACAATGCAAAAGTGCCCGATGCAAACAAACAGTGCGACGCCCCGATCTCGGGGAGGGGTGCTGGGACAGCCAGACGGCGCGAGCGCGCGAAAGAGAACCCTGGCGGACTCCGCGCGCCAGGGGAGCGCCAGGGGGGCGAGGAACCCAAGCTCAGGATCGCAAACATGGATCAAGGGGGCGTGGATTAGCGACGAGTCCAGATTCCGGTGGAAGTCACGGATTTCCGCCGCCGAACGAGGCGACACCGGCCGCATTTTGGGGAGGCACCTCCCCCGATCCATGAATTTGGCGACCGCGCGCCAAATCCATGGATCGCTAATCCATGTTTTTGCGCCTCCGACAAACGGACGTCCCCAAATGCATGCTTCTGCTCCATTTTTTCTTCTCCAGGAATCCACCCCTCCCTTCCTCTCCGACGTTGCTGCGCTTGAGCGGCACACCCCACGCCTGCGCAGCGAATGGCGAACAGGTGAGTGAGACGCCTGCGCCCGATCGTCTCTCATCAAAGATCGCGCTTTGAGATGCCAGAGGGGTCCCTTCTTCGTCGAGTAGAGAGGGAGTCCCTCCCTTGCTCCCCCCCCCCCGCGCCCCACCCCACAGAGAAGAGGGCGGCGCGCGTCAGCATGGCACGGCACCGGGGCTCGAAGGACACTGCCGCAGGGGAGACGTATGGGCTCTCGCCGTCGTCGCCGCCCTCTCTCTCTCTCTCTCTTTAGTCCGTCCCCCTCTTCTCTCTCGTTGTCGCCCGCCCCCTCCTTCCATGTCGTCCCCCTCCTCCCCCCTCCCCCTCAGTATCCCTCCTTGTCATCGTCCTCCTCCTCCTCCTCCTCCTCCTTCTCCTCCTCCTCCTCCTCCTCCTCCTCCTCCTTATCATCATCATCAGCATCATCAGCATCAGCATCAGCATCAGCATCAGCATCATCCTCATCAGCATCATCAGCATCAGCATCATCAGCATCATCAGCATCATCAGCATCATCAGCATCATCATCATCATCATCATCATCATCATCATCATCATCATCATCATCATCATCATCATCATCATCCTCATCATCCTCATCATTGTCATCGTCATCGTCATCGTCATCGTCATCATCCCTCTTTCTCCCAAATTTTCCCTACCTTCTTCCATAAACTCCCTCTCACCCGCGTCCTCCCTTCCTTCCGTCCCAGCCATTTCACGGCCGAGAGCGTTGCACTCCGGAGTGCTGGAGGCATGTTGTTCCAAGCGGTGCTCGGCCCCCGATGCGGCTGCGAAGTCGTCGTGGTCGGGATTCGCTTCTGGCGGGAGAGGCTCGTGCAGTCTGGGGTCGGGCGAGCTGGTTCTCTTAAAGGGAAATTGGGACACACAAATAAATACACACAAATAAAAATAGTCCCCATATTTTCCCATATTTTCTGGGTTTTTGTCTTCCCCCCCAATTCCCATATTTTCCCATATTTTCCTGGGAATCGCCGATTAATTGTGTCTGTGTGTTTTTTCCCCTCCTGTCCTCTTCGGTGTGGACTCTACATCGCGGGGGGCCTTCGCGGGCAAGTGCCCCGGGCCCGCCCACGGCGGGAGGGGCGACGCCGCGACGGCGGCGCGCCCTCCCTGCCAGGCGCCTCGCCGCATGCGACGCGCGCCCAGGAGACCGGGGCCATGACCGGCCCCGGCCATCTCGTTTCATCATGAGTATCGGGGGCGGCCAAGAGGGAGGTGATGACTAGGGGGGGGGTGGATATCATGGCGTGGGCCATGATGTCTCCTCATATTTCATGGCGCCTCGTCTTATTTCATTACGTCCCTGGGTTCCGCCCTGGGCTGCACACATGCCGCCGGCCATGATTTGCGCCCCCCCCCCCCCTCTCTGACGCCCCCTTCTTGGCCGCCCCCGAGAGTAGTTTTTGACGGCCCTGGGGCCCAGTGAGGGCCCCCAGAAACAGAAATTCGTTCAAAACCGCCCGTGGTGATTTTTCGTGGGGGTGCCACAGGACACCTGCGGCAGTGCTTTGCGCTAGCAGTCCTTCTCATGAACATGTATATCTGACACGGGCGCCAGGTTCATCGATTTCCTCCAAAATCTTTCTATGCATGCCAGCCTTGGGGAATTCCTGCCTGAGTTGCGGAGTCATGGAGGATTTTCTCGCCTGTGTCTCTGTCCCCCATTCCGCAGCCTAGTCTAGGGCTTTGCCAATGCGTCCGCCAAGGACGATAGCGGTACTGAGCTGCGCCCAGATGGTGGTCGAGGCGCACGGCGGCGGCTGGGGCAAAGAGGCGCGACGCGCCCTGGCCATCTTGGCCAAGCGCGCGGCGGACGCCACGGGGGACTACCCTGCTCAAGTGGCGGCGGCGCACGCCCAGCGGTTCCCGCTTCTCCTCCAGAAACAGAATGCGCGGGCCGTGCTCCCGCAGGCTGCAGGCGCCGCGCAGGGCGCCCTCGGCCAGGTTCTCAGCGGCCACTGCGGCCAGCACAGCCGACGCCGCCTGAGCCGCGGGCCTGGCGCAACTTGCCCGCGCGCGAAGCGCCACCGCGCCGCCGCGCTGAAGGGGGGGCACGACCCCAACGACCACCCTGACCCCGACGTCCACCACGACCGCCCCCGACCGCTTCCTGACCCAGCCTGCCGACCGCGACCACGACGACCGCCCCCCGTCCCGCCGCCCCGCGTTTGCTTGCTTGACGCTGCTGCTGCTGCTGCTGCTGCTGCTGCTGCTGCTGCTGCTGCTGCTGCTGCTGCGCCTGCTGCTGCTGCTGCCCCTTTTCCCGCTCGCTGCTCGCGTGCGGTGTGGTTTTCCTTGTTGTTCCTTCTCCTCGTCCTCCTCCTCCTCCTCCTGCTCCTCCTCCTCCCCTCTCCCCTGACAGCAGGGGGATCCGGGCCGCGGGCGGCCGAAGCGCGCCCGGAGGGCGCGACGGTCTGGAGATTTGCTGCACGCTGTGCCTTGTTCGAAGCAGATGCTCTCGTAGCATTCAAGGTGGATCCTCGTACACGGCCGGGTCAGGCAGGTGCAGGTCTTACCCCCTCCCTCCCCCGAGCTTTTGGCCAGGGCGGCGGGGCCGGCCATGTGGCCGGAACAAAAATTTTATTGAAAGAGCACCAGCGCCTTCTAATAAGCAACCTCCTTCTAAGAAGCCTTCCTCCTTTCCTGCCCCATTTCGCCAATACGCGTAAGAGTGACCCCTCGCCGGAGTGACCTTTCGTGCGGGTTCGCGGGCCATCAGATCCGAGCGTTGCCATTTCTTCACAACAGGCGGTTTCGGGCCCGCGGAGCCCTCACAGGACGATCCGGCTCGCATGCTGGCGCGGAGAAGGTCAGGTCTAGAGTCTATAGGACTCCGCCAACCCTCCCCTGCCCCCCTGCTTCCTCGTGTGCGCCGCCAACCTCCCCCGAGGAGTACACCCAGCGCACGCACCTGTCGCAGCTGCCCGACGCCGCCTCCGACTGGGCCGCCTGGGCCTCGGCGCGCCTCTGGGGCTGGCCGGCGCCCACCGCCGCGGCCGGGCGCCTGCTGGTCGAGGCCCCGCCGTGCGCCCCCCGGCAGCAACGGAGGAGGAGGAGGAAGAAGGAGGAAGGAGGAGGAGGATGACGAGGAGGAGGAGGAAGAGGAGGAGGAAGAAGGAGGAAGGAGGAAGGAAGGAGGAGGAGGAGGAAAAGGAGGAGGAGGAGGAGGGAGGAGGGAGGAGGGTAGAGGAAGGAGGAGGAGGGGGCTGATGAGGAGGAGGAGGGACCCCTTTTCCCCAGACCTGCTCGCGTCGTGGAAAGAGGCACGACGAAAGGGGTTGTTGGGCAGCTTCCGGCCCCCATAGGGGCACCCGCCAGGCCCCAGGACCGTCAACAGAGCGACTCGCGATGCAGAGGCCGGCCCCAAGGAAGGGGTCGGGACTTCCAGGGAGCGCGTCCTGACGAGTATCAGGACATCGCAGGTCTCGGTCTATGCTCTAGGCCTCCCAGATGGGGTCCGCGAAGATAGGGTGGGAGTATCGCGCCGCATCGCCGATGCATCGGCGATGCGGTTCGACACGAGCCCGATTTTCTCCACGCCGACGTCGCCGATGCATCGCCGGCATCGCCAGTGCATCGCCGGTGCATCGCAGGCATGTGCGATGCATCGGCGAGGAGGCGCGATTTTCCGACCCCATCTGCTCCGACCCCATCTGGGAGGCCTCTACTCCTAGACATGCTCGCATTGCGAATAAATCATGGCGGGAGGTCGTTGGGCGTTTTGGCCCTTGGGGGCCTCCGCTGGGCCCCAGGACCGCCGCCCAGGGACTCCCAGGGACCCCCAGGGACCCCGCATTGAAGAGACCAAGATATCGGATATCGTGGGTCTGGGGCGGCGTCCGTTTTGAATTGGGCTCGATTTCGGTGTCGCCCCGGGTGTGGCCCATCTGGGACAAGAGATCGCGCTGCCCAGTAGCGGCCGCTGCCGGTTTTGGACAACGTTTGTTGTTGCGCATGGTGCACGTTAATTTCCGTGCCCGTTGTGGGCGGGCCAGGTCACTCTAAAGGAGGCTGGGCACAGGCGAGAGGTAGCGAGCGTTTGTCCGCGGCCGTTTGTTCTCAAGCGGCCGGCCGCCAACATACGATTGCGCCTCATCGCGAGGCACACTATTTGCCATCGAGACCGAAAACATCTTCGCTTGACATGGCTCGTCGCTCCCGCGACTCTCTCCTGCTCTTGGGACTGTCGTCGCGACGGTATAACAGAGTTGGATATGGGCTTCGCCTTAGGCGAAGCATTTGGTTGGGCCTCCCAACCCCCTTCAAACTAAGTCGCCGTGTCTCTGACTATAAAGGCGAGCAGGAACAAAGAGGCTGAGGTCAGCCCTTCTCAGTGCAAAGTTAGGGGGGATAGGCTTTGCGGGGGAAAGTGTCGACCCCCGATCTCCCATTCCCACTCATCGTCGATCTGGGCCCAATAGGTCACTCCGACAAGGAGCGTGCGGTCTTGCTATCGAGTGCCTATCGCCATTCGGTCGGCGATGTATCGCCGATCCCAGCTCGATGTATTCTGCCCTGAGCTGGTCCCCCCGAGCGGTTCCCGTCATTTTCTTGCCAGCCTTGGCCAGTCCTCTCTCTCTCTCTCTCTGTTTTTTTTTTTTTCTTCTTCTCTCTCTCTCTCTCTCTCTCTCTCTTTCTATGTATGTATGTGTATATATATGTGTATATCCGTTGTTGCGTTTGTTTGTTGCTCGATATTTCTCTCGCTTTCTCTCTCTCTCTCTATCCTTGTCTCTCTCTTTCTCTCCCTCTCTCTCTCTCTCTTTTTTTCTCTCTCTCTCTCTCTCTCTCTTTCTCTTTCTAGATATCAGAGTGAGTGGGCCGATCGGTCATTCATTGTCCCTGGGCGCGTGGCTGAATAAGGAATTCGTGGTGAGAGTTCTGAGTGTTGCGTTGTGTTCTTGTGGTCGTTGTTGAACTCTCACTTCTGAAGAATAGTTATTGCTGACCCCCCCCACTGGTGCATATTGCCTTTCTCAATCAAAATGTGTCCCTCGACGCTCGCACCCGGTTATTTTAACCAGGAAAAGTTTCGAGGCTCAAACTGGGCCCCTGGCCCCTGGGTTACAACAACAACGGCTCCCGCTTGAGATCCCTTTACACTTTAGCCAGGGCCACCGCTCCCGCCCGAGACTTCCTCGCATTTTATGCAGGAATCGTGCTCTCGCTTGGGCTTTCCTTGCAATTTATTTAGGAATCGCTCGCCCGGCGCTCTGGAGTCGCGTTCTC